TTACTGCCGGGATAGCCTGGTTTGTAGGACACTGGGCCCATGTCCGAGAGCTCGTGGGTTCGAACCCCGCCGGCTGAAGACTCCCCGTGTAGTAAAGTGACTGATGCACGTTAAATATGTCGAATCGCAAAAGTCCTCCATGTTCCCATAACAAATCAATACCTCTGGGAGTACTGGATTGGAGATCGATTGTTCTCTGATTCAGGTCGAAATTACGATCGGTGGATGAATGATTGGATATACGAATGGGTCCGCCCTATAAACGTCTGTGACGTTTGGTGTGGTAGAAGTCGAATTCTTGGCCATAGATGGCGCCACTGGAAAACAAGAACAATCGCACCCCTTCTGCCTAAACAGGCATACGTCAACAACAACCACATTTAACAAATTTTATCACTTATTATAAAACCATATTTAATTGTCAATTTTTCCAAAATCATTACCAAAGCCGTTTGGTTAAAATTAACGAAAGTTTTAGTATTCCCATGCATAGCAAATTATTCACATTCCGATAGTTTTGACCAGATTTTTTTTTTCCAATGCCCTCCTGGGTAGACACTTTGTCAATACAGGCGTATTAGGGCAGATTTGTTGACCACTCCTTCAGGGGCACCATGTTAGGTGGGCCAGCTTTGTCCCCACAGTAAGGACAGATAGTACAGAGAATGAATGAATATCCATGCCTTGTCCGGAATTCGAACCCGAACATTCCGATGGAAGGTCAGTTCCTTGACCCTACCCAGTCCAATCGGCATATTATAAATTATTTAACTTAATTTGTCAATGTAATATTACATAAAAAAATTTTAAATTGTAATTTTGGAAGAAATTTATAGTTAAATAAAAGCATTCTGTGCCCTATTTTAGAGAAAATGAATTTGAATTTATGAAATGTGAATTACTTTTCTATTTTATCCTTCCGAAGCATTTCAAGTAGGGTGACAAGAAGTAATTCCTTATCAAAAAAAAAGTAAATTATTTTTTTGTGAACAGAGTTTTAATTCTCTGTAAAAGTTTGATAATTACCCTTAAAACGAAAATTTTCTTAATCACTTCTGAAGCAATTGCTCATCTTCCAGGTTTTTTCTCTCCTCTTTTCTAATTAAAGAGGCATTAATTTAGTGGAAAAGTGGAAAACACTTCAGTTAGAACAAAATAATTTCAGTTATTATAAAAAGAAAAAAAGAAAAAAAAAACATGATCCCGCTAAGCAGCGGATTATCTAAGGCAAAAATTTTTTTTTAAATATCTTTGGAGTCAAACAAAATATCAAATTTTGATTCTGCGTGTTCTATTACAATTTTAAAATTTCTGAATATAAGTTCATGTTTTGTTCTACCGGCTCACATGTTTAAATTTCTCTTTTCAGTTAATTTCCGTTAATTTTCCTATTATTAACCATTCCTACATGTGCCAAAAAGTTTTTTTCAGTTTGTACAATTAAATATATATTTTTAATATTATAAATTTGATTTTTCAATGTTTAATTTCGATTTGATGCATTTAGTATATTTAGTGTACATTGCCAATGGATAAAAAAACTACTACTAAATAAACATATACATAAATATCACTATAAAAATGTAAATAAAAAGATAAATATTTACTTACTCTATTATATAATTCAATGATCGTCTCCTTAACGTCCATTGCCTCTTAACAAATTTAATTTGTGTGGCTGATAAAATTTTGTACTAAAAATATACATTTTACCAACAAATGTCGAAAATATAATTTAAACAAAATTATTAAAACATCGTGCAAATGTTATGAATGAATTTTGCGCAAATTTCATAAATTTACTTTAAGACAGGACAAAGTTTCTTCTTCTTCGTTTCCTATTATTGATCCTCTTTGATCTCAGTGTTACAATGTTATTACAATGCAATATACAGCTGTGTCATTATTATTTTTTTTTGTTGAAAAAATAGTATTCAATTGAAAATTTAATCATTTTAATTAAGTGGGACAGATCTTAATTATTATACTAAAAAAATTTCTGGCAATGAGCATTGAATGTTTGAAAAAGAATTATTTTTCACTTACATTCAATTTAAAGTTCGCCTTTCAATCTTTTATACAAAAGCATGACCTTTGAAAATTGATTTGGAAAGAAATCATCTTATTTTCTGCAAAATATAGTTGATGAAATGGACTTGCTTTTACAAAAAAATTCATTTTAATTTAGAAAAAAGCAATTTTTTATGCTACTCCCAAAAATATCATATGCGTTTCTTTTCCTATTTGGTTTATTATTAAAGTAATTTCATTTTAAAAGGAAGCTTTGTGATTTGAGGAAAGTCCTTTATTTGCTTCTTGTTTGAAAATAATAGCTCTTCAATTAAATAAACTTTTTAAAAACGTTTTTATGTTATTTTATAAATAATAAAGTAAATAAGTATATAAATAAATGTTTTTAAATTGATAATAGATATCAGTTAATTGTTTTAAATTAAGGAAATTCTAAGGATCTATTTATGACACTGATCTGAAAATTATATCGATGTTTCTTAGTTTCATTAGACATGGCTCAGTAATTTCAGGATCTATATTTTTTCTAGTTTTATTCAATTTACTTCAACAGACATAAGGTTGTACAGGGTGCCTAAAAAATGGACAACCTAGAATAACTTTTGATTTAGTGATTGGATTTTCCCGTTATAGGACTCAATCTTAATGGCTCGAGGAGATAACTTCTAACATGTAAATTAATAAGTGCAGATGATATTTTAAGTTAAGAAATCAAACACAAAAACGTACTTTCTCTGAATAAACATGCAATTTTTTTCGATGAAATGCGATTTCTGATCCCCAAAATATAGGGAGTAGCCGCAATTTGGGAAATATGATCCCAACAGTTTGGTGAGGAGAGCCATCTAAAGTTTGGACACGGCAATGTTAAATTTACTTTTTGTGTATTTTGCTATAGCCCGAGAACTTTTAAACTAATTAAAAAAAATTTATCACGCAATTATAAAATTCGCTTATCCAAGGATGACTTAATCCAAAAAATAACTTGTAGTAAATATTTATTATTTTTTATCATCTCATTTAATAAATGGTCGAAAACTTCTTGAATTGTAGTGTATAAAACTTTACATCAATTGAAAGAATGCAATTTTACATGGCAAAATACAAAGTTTGAGCTTAGTTGGTCGAATAGTTCCTAAGAAATTAAATTTAAAAAAAAGTCAGATACTTAAAATTAGATTTCTCAGGATTTCTCTTCGATTCTTCATTCGACCGATTTTACTCACATTTTGTATTTTGCCATGTAAAGTTCCGTTCTTTAAAGTTATATAAAATTTTTTATGGATTACAATTCAAAAAATTTTCGCCCATTATTGAATAAAAGGATAAAAAATATTAAATATTTGAAAAAAAATTTTTTTTGAATGGAATTATCGTGTGATAAATGCATTTTATATTTGTGTTTGAAAATGGTTCAATTCGCTTAAAAAGTTCTCGAGGTATGGCGAAATACACAAACAGTAAAATTAACACTACGGGGTCCAAACTTCGAATCGCTTTCTTGACCAAACTTGGCGGACTATATTTCCCAAGATATCCCAGATTGTGGCTACATCCTGTATTTTGGGGGTTAGAAATCCGAATCAGTAGATAAAAGGTATGTTTATTCAGTAAAAGTAACTTTTTGTGTCTGATTTCGTAACTTAAAATATTGTCTGTACTAATTAATATGCATATTTGTAGTAGTCCTTTCGAACCATTAAGAATGAGTCCAGGAATGTGAAGATCTCACTATTAGATCAAAAGTTATTCAGAGTGATTCATTTTTTGGCGTGCTGTATATTTAAGAGGATTATAAAAATAACACTGATTAATAGCTCAGTTTTCATAAAATGCCTTAATAACTCGGCTTATATTTTCCATTTAAGTAATGAAAAATAAGTGAAATAATTATGATTATTGTAATAAGTAAGAGTGCTTATCATAATTATCATAACTTTATAACAATATGTAACTAAAAATTTATAAAAAATATGTAGACATTAAAGTCTTATGTAAACCAGATGATTAAATCTGATGATCAAATCGAAGAATTCCTTTAATTCCCAAGTAAATTATTAAGCCATTCTTCATTATCTATGCAATATACAGGGTGAATACTGTAATATACTGTAAATAGAACAGTCAGCAGAAGAAAAAAACGAAAATAAAAATTACCCGGATTAACTTTCGATATGATAAACGGATAAGTACTAAAATGCAACTCTCAATGTAATTATTTTCAAGCATTAAAATCTAATCAAGCATTAAAATCTAATCTGAAATATGCATATTAATTACATTTAACAATTAATTAGGCTATAAAATCAGACACAAAAGCGTACTTTGCCGGAATAAACATACCTTTATACTATCCTTTTGGATTCTTAACTATTTAAATATGTGGTGTAATCGCTATCTAAAATAATTTGTTCCGATAGCTAAGTCAGAATAACAGTCAAAATGCTAATGTTCGCATGTGTTAGATTTACTTTTTTACGTATCTTACTGTATTTTGCAAACTGCTTAAGCAGAGGCGTGGTGGCTCAGGGGATAGAGCATCCAATGAGGAGAACCTGGTTCGAATCCCAGTGATGGCTTGGTCGATACAAACTCTACACCCTGCTCGAGCCAACCACAGTGCTGACGTAAAATATCCTCAGTGGTAGACGAATCTTAGATCCCTTTGTCTTAAGGAGGGTGGCTTGGAAGAAGGTTTTCGTGGTTTTTTCAAATAATTGGGAGGTTATCGAAGGAGGTTTTCGTGGTTTTTTCATGCTTTCAATTAATTATTTTTTTTTTATTTTATAAGTTAGAAATCTCTAAGATAAAGAATACTGTTGTAATTGTTAATCAATGAATTTGTATCTTTATCAGCATACTTTGGATTTCGAGACACATAGCTATACGCTACTGTAATAACCAAACAAATTTCACTTCCTCTGTTCAGAATGCAATGAATGATTTAATTTCGAAAGGAAAGTCGCCTTTATCTTAGTTCCGGTCCTGCTCTTCCGTTTAATGCCCATGAAAAATACAGTCATCAGTCTAGAATGGACATTCTGCAATAATGATACGCCTCTCTATAGTCTTTCTTGTCTTCTTTTGCGGAATAGGTAGGTTCTAAATATTCTAGAAATTTTTATTCTACTATTTAAAACTGAAGCAATTTCATCTCTTTACAAAAGGTGCCGCCGATATTTGATTATTGTGTGTAATACTTAGGAGCTCCGTCTCTTGGTTTTCTGTCCCCACGATTTCTGTCAATTTTTTCTGTTTTTCAAAATATTCTAAAGTTTTTTTTCTTTTCTATTTCCTATTTTTACTGGAACAAAATTTAAAACTAGCGATTTTTCTGGGGCACCTAAGCAAATTTCAACCACAGATATATATTTTTTAATTCTTAATTTTTGTAACTAAAAAAACTTTTGAAATATTCTCTCCCTAAGTGATTATTTTACTGCAGTGCGAGAATATAAAGTTTATAATTAGTTTAGAACTTTAAATAGTTATTTTGTATTCATTATTTAAACTGCATACGTTTATAAACAGTTCTATACTAAACTGCAATGTTTCTTGACAATGGAGAAATATGCTGAGGGAAAACGAAGAAAATAGTTCCTGGCGTGAAGTCTGTATTTCGAGGAAAATTACGCATTTCACAATAGAAATATGATAAGTTATCTTAACCCACACATATATAGCGTTAATTTGCTATAATTTTCTTAAAATTTTATATATTTTCAGATTTACGAGCGGCGCATCGCGGAATGGTATCTTTATTTAGTTATATTTCTTCTATATAACGACTGAACTTATTTCTCCTTCTTCCTCCGCCAGCCGTGACGTCATTGTCAAGAAACTTTGCATTCTAGTATAAATAAAAATCACTATATAACTTCTTAAAAAGTAAATATGACTCGTAAATATAACTCTTAAAAGTAACGGTACTTAAAAATGCTTATTATAAGATGTCGCGAAACAAGATAATATCATACCAATACTGTAAATTACAATATAGGATTTCAATTTTAAGTTTTTAGTTTTGTTTGAATAATGATTAAAATAAAAAAACTTAATTATATTAGAGAATAATATTAAGAAGGGAGAATAAATATGTAATCTTGATTAAGGACGTAAAATAAAGTATAAATAAATTATTGTCAGTTAACTAACGTTATAACTTTCATAATTTCATGCTTATGCCAGATAAAGATTTATGTATTTTCTTTATATACTGAGGATTATATGATTCGATTTTTTTTTGTCCAATCAGATTACAAAATATTAAGAGGGTATTTCGCTTTTATGATGAAAATACTATTTGTTCTAAATCATTAAAAAAAGCTAACGAATAATAAATGTTTTTAATTGCTAATCTCAAATAACAATATCTGGAGAGAAAATTTTTGATATTATATCTCTTTTTATTACTTGTTTTAGGCTTGGTTATTTTTAAAAAAATTATGATTCTTATTTTCATAACAAACTGACGTTAAGAAAAATGTTAATGTAAAAAATAATTATATTTAATGCTTTGTTTATATAGTACATATTTTAAATACACTTGTAAAACTTTTCGAGAAATATTATGGGTGGTCAAACGATTTAATAGTGTTCGTATTCTAATTATTAAAATTGAAAACAAATTTTGTGCTATCATAATTAAGGAGAGTTAAGAAGTTTCGTTTTGAGGCCACCACAATGGCACATCATGGCATACTAATTTCCAATTTCAATGACACAAATGGCTGCTGCTGGAAAAATATAATCCCAAGTACCTGAATCAGGAGATCGATCGTTTTTTTAAATTTAAAGATGACTTTTTTATACAATTTAAAAACCTACCCTTTAAATATCTCATCATGTGTTTTTTTGCATAAAAAGGAAATATTTTTTTGTATGCCTGGCATACAAGTTAGTACAACAATTTTTTAAGTACTGTGTAAACAGAAATTATTAATTTTAAATGCTGTAGTATTCCAAGAACACATTATTCAATTACTTAAAAATTTATTTTTAAATATTATTCATAGTCATCTGTGATGAGTGTGAGCCAGATTTAGCCGATAGCTGCTTCGAATCTATAGAAGAACATGTCAAATATTTAATTGACGTCAAAAATGATATCATAAAAAATATCACCCAAGCTGCCATTCACGACTTCTGTCTGTAAGTACTCCATTTTTAATTTAATGTAAACATAAATTCTTCATTAATTCAGTACTTATTAACTTGAAGACTTATTAACTTACATTTGAAAAAAAATTACCAACCCAATAGCTAAATATAATCCAACCTTGTAACTTCTTTTTTCAATCGAACGCTGGTCTCAGTGTCATCTAAGGAAAAAGTTGTCAGCCTGTCACGAGCAATCAGCAGTCAACAGCCTCCTTGCCCAGCTATACATTACACGTGATTGCTTAATTTATAGATATACACCGAAGAGCCATTACTTTATGACCACCCTCCATCTATAACAATGGGCTCACCCATGCTTTCATGGTTTCTCCCCAGGAAGAATGTTTTCGTGGGGCACAGGATAATGCACCATGGGTCGAATCGTCATGGATTGGTTCGAGGAACATTCCAGTGACTTTCAAGTCATGTCTTGGCCCCCAAATTCACCTGACCTTAATCCAATAGAGCATTTGTGGCGTTACTTGGAGAACCAAATTCGTGCTGCCACGCTACCCTCATTGCAATGTGAGGGAATTACAGGACCAGTTGGTGAGCACTTAGTACCAGATACCTCAGACTACCTATCAGCACCTTGTGGAATCAATGCCACGGCGGGTGCTAGCAGTTTTGAGGGCTAAAGGTGGTCCTACATGTTATTAGCAGGGTGGTCATAATGTAATGGCTCTTCGTTGTATATCGACCGATGGATCGGTTGACATTTCCTTCGGTAAGAAATACCGATAAGTAGATAATCACGAACAATCGGCAGTCAACAACCTCCTTCCCCAGCAACACATTACATGTGATTGCTTAGTTCATAGATATATATCCACCGATGGATCTGTTTGCACTGTCTTCGGTGAGAAATACCGATAAGTAGAGACTAATTACTATTAGAATTAGCTGTCAGTCTACTTATTGCACCTTTCAAAGCTTTGCAGTGACCGCTCCTTGTCGATTCCTCGAGTTACGGTGGTAGAGTCAACGATTTGAGGTGCTTAAAAATGTTGATAAACTACAGGAAAATAATCAAATATGAACCATTTCAGTAAATTAATTCGTGGAGTCTTTATGTCGCGTGACATCGCTAAATAGCAAATTTTCAGAAAAAAATCTTTATCTACACCCTCATCCACCTTTTAATTTACATTTATATCTTTGCTGTTTTTCATACTATTCAGAAATGCTCTGCAGAAATATCCGTTTTAAGTGTACCATGTTATCAAAACGTAATACGCCTCTGCTTCACATAGCCACAAACTGATTTTTACAAGCATGGCATTACGTGGCTTATATTAATTTCAATGGGTCCAATTACTAAACAGCTGTAGATAATGCATTTGAGTTTCATTAAGTGAATTATATAAATAGTTTTCGTCTCGTTAATAATCGATCTCATCCAGTATTTATCGGATAATGAACTTTCAAACTGATGCACCGCACTAAACAAAAAATGTTTTTCCAAACAAAAGTGAAATAAATCTTTGAATTATTACGATTCCATTAAAGATGTTGTGAATTGAAAACTAAAATAATGCTTAATTCTTTTAGCACAACTTACTCTTAACTATCCTATCATTAAAAACTAGCATTTTTAACGAAATATCTTCTAGAAATTAGTTTTATCAGACGTTCAACCTCATTTGTTTTATGAATTATAAAATCTTAAAATAGGTATGTCGGAATCTTCTTTGTATGTAGGTCAATTGAAGATTCTATACACTGTGCTTCGGATGTCATCGACGAAGATTGTAGCGATGAAGAAGGGAGGGGAAGATTTGACACTTGGTTGTTGTCCCTAAGAGCAACATACAACTTCGTCTGCCAAGGAGATCACAGTAACTTAAAAGGTAATGTCTCACAGCTAAAATTGTATCAATAGTTATTGATTCTTCATTTATTTTCTGCGTTATTGTCCCTGATTGTTGTTATCAATATTTTTAATCTCCTAAGCTATCCATAGCTAGGCATATATAGCTAGACAAGCATATTTTAAGGTGAGCTCCAGCTTACTGGAAACCTTAAAATATGCTTTCCTCTGTATTGAAGTTGCATTCTTATCTTTGAAACAACCATATATATATANTGTGTGTGTGTGTGTGTGTGTGTGTGTGTGTGTGTGTGTGTGTGTGTGTGTGTGTGTGTGTGTGTGTGTGTGTGTGTGTGTGTGTGTGTGTGTGTGTGTGTGTGTGTGTGTGTGTGTGTGTGTGTGTGTGTGTGTGTGTGTGTGTGTGTGTGTGTGTGTGTGTGTGTGTGTGTGTGTGTGTGTGTGTGTGTGTGTGTGTGTGTGTGTGTGTGTGTGTGTGTGTGTGTGTGTGTGTGTGTGTGTGTGTGTGTGTGTGTGTGTGTGTGTGTGTGTGTGTGTGTGTGTGTGTGTGTGTGTGTGTGTGTGTGTGTGTGTGTGTGTGTGTGTGTGTGTGTGTGTGTGTGTGTGTGTGTGTGTGTGTGTGTGTGTGTGTGTGTGTGTGTGTGTGTGTGTGTGTGTGTGTGTGTGTGTGTGTGTGTGTGTGTGTGTGTGTGTGTGTGTGTGTGTGTGTGTGTGTGTGTGTGTGTGTGTGTGTGTGTGTGTGTGTGTGTGTGTGTGTGTGTGTGTGTGTGTGTGTGTGTGTGTGTGTGTGTGTGTGTGTGTGTGTGTGTGTGTGTGTGTGTGTGTGTGTGTGTGTGTGTGTGTGTGTGTGTGTGTGTGTGTGTGTGTGTGTGTGTGTGTGTGTGTGTGTGTGTGTGTGTGTGTGTGTGTGTGTGTGTGTGTGTGTGTGTGTGTGTGTGTGTGTGTGTGTGTGTGTGTGTGTGTGTGTGTGTGTGTGTGTGTGTGTGTGTGTGTGTGTGTGTGTGTGTGTGTGTGTGTGTGTGTGTGTGTGTGTGTGTGTGTGTGTGTGTGTGTGTGTGTGTGTGTGTGTGTGTGTGTGTGTGTGTGTGTGTGTGTGTGTGTGTGTGTGTGTGTGTGTGTGTGTGTGTGTGTGTGTGTGTGTGTGTGTGTGTGTGTGTGTGTGTGTGTGTGTGTGTGTGTGTGTGTGTGTGTGTGTGTGTGTGTGTGTGTGTGTGTGTGTGTGTGTGTGTGTGTGTGTGTGTGTGTGTGTGTGTGTGTGTGTGTGTGTGTGTGTGTGTGTGTGTGTGTGTGTGTGTGTGTGTGTGTGTGTGTGTGTGTGTGTGTGTGTGTGTGTGTGTGTGTGTGTGTGTGTGTGTGTGTGTGTGTGTGTGTGTGTGTGTGTGTGTGTGTGTGTGTGTGTGTGTGTGTGTGTGTGTGTGTGTGTGTGTGTGTGTGTGTGTGTGTGTGTGTGTGTGTGTGTGTGTGTGTGTGTGTGTGTGTGTGTGTGTGTGTGTGTGTGTGTGTGTGTGTGTGTGTGTGTGTGTGTGTGTGTGTGTGTGTGTGTGTGTGTGTGTGTGTGTGTGTGTGTGTGTGTGTGTGTGTGTGTGTGTGTGTGTGTGTGTGTGTGTGTGTGTGTGTGTGTGTGTGTGTGTGTGTGTGTGTGTGTGTGTGTGTGTGTGTGTGTGTGTGTGTGTGTGTGTGTGTGTGTGTGTGTGTGTGTGTGTGTGTGTGTGTGTGTGTGTGTGTGTGTGTGTGTGTGTGTGTGTGTGTGTGTGTGTGTGTGTGTGTGTGTGTGTGTGTGTGTGTGTGTGTGTGTGTGTGTGTGTGTGTGTGTGTGTGTGTGTGTGTGTGTGTGTGTGTGTGTGTGTGTGTGTGTGTGTGTGTGTGTGTGTGTGTGTGTGTGTGTGTGTGTGTGTGTGTGTGTGTGTGTGTGTGTGTGTGTGTGTGTGTGTGTGTGTGTGTGTGTGTGTGTGTGTGTGTGTGTGTGTGTGTGTGTGTGTGTGTGTGTGTGTGTGTGTGTGTGTGTGTGTGTGTGTGTGTGTGTGTGTGTGTGTGTGTGTGTGTGTGTGTGTGTGTGTGTGTGTGGGTGTGCGTGCGTGTGCGTGTGTGTGTGTGTGTATTTACAAGAGGTTGTTATAGTTGATATCACGTAAACGTTGAAGGGTAAAATACATGTTTTAACAAAAAAATATAAGTACTAGGTAAATTGATGTGAATTAAGTTTTTAATTTCAATAAATTAAAAATATGTGCTTTGAAGTACTTAGCAAATATTCATTATTGACTTTCTTCTTCGCATGTTAACATCATTCACATGTTCTTAAAATTTTAAAAATATATAATAAATAAAAAAAATACTATTTTATATTATATCAAACAGATTTAGTTGCATTTCTTTTTGGTTTATAATTTAATCTTTATTCATGACTTTTTCAGGAATTATTTTGAATGTATTTCTAATATTCATATATTTTTTCAATTATAGCAATATAGTACAAACATCGATCATTTTCTTTAGTTTAATTTACTATGAGTGGGATTAAAATGAAGTCGTTACATTTTTAGACTAGTTCCCGTATAATGAAGCAATCTCAATTATCAATACAGCGAAGTATAAAGGCTTATTAAATCCCTTATAATTTCTAAACTATTAGTCCCATCGAATAGATTTTGATGTCTGACGATTTTGCGTAAGGTAATATTCATGGAATATCTCACTCGGCTAAAATGTTCGAATTCCCTGATTTTGTCTCCTCAGTAAATTCAAGAGGGCGATTAAAGTCTACCTTGGGGTAAAACAAACTTCAAGCATCCATATCCGTATCCGTAATGTCACCTTTAAAAAATATTTAACAACTTTCTAGTATTCATTTCCATATTCGACTTCTGGCTTTTATCTTTACACAATAGAGTGCACTTGACAGTCAGTCACTGTTCAAATTTAATTAATTTAATAATAAAATTTTAATTAATTAATTATTTTAACAAGTAACTTTTTCGTATTGTTGAGGTAAGAAAATATTCAATTTTTGATATTAATTACTTTTAAAGTATCTCTCTTGTTCGTGAAGGAAAAAAGATGGAATTTAACAACTTTGCCTTATATGATTACAGAGTGTCGACAGGTGAAATTGAAGTTAATAAAATTGTAGATTTTTTCAAATGCGATTCTGATGAAGAAATCGATAGTAAAAGACTTTCATTGAAACTGTCATTTGCAACTTGTGTTTTTCTTAATTTCGAAACTTTGAAAATATACCTAATACATCAGGATATAAATGACGCAAAATTTCCATCCGTCCGTTAAATTGAAAATGATCTTTTTCGCGTCGGAATTCAAGGAAATTCTTAAATATTAAACAGTACAAAATTTAAAAGCTCAAATTAACTAGAACGTAATTATTTGCAATTTTTTTAAACTTCTTCATAAAAAATTTTCAAAATTTCTGATTGTGGGTACTTTTGTCAAATTTCTTATTTGGATAAGTGCAGGTATTTCTTCATTTTTTTGACAACTGATTTAATGAATTCCTCAGATTTAACAAATAAACATTTTTAGTCCCGACGAATTTTGCTTAATCATTGACTGATTGTAATATTTACTGATTATGGGATTTGGGACTTTTGAATACTTTTACGTTAAAATATAAAGTCTGTCAGAAACAAACCTTCGGATTTAACAAGAGAGCTATGTCATGATGATCCACATAAATCAATTAAATGTGAAGCAAATTTAAAAATTTATTTATCAAATAACGAATTTATTTATCATAAGGACCTAATCACAACGTTTGAAATAATCTAAGAAAAATTCAACTATCGATATTCCCTCCATTCACAAAAGAATCCACTATCATCCAAGATGTCTCATTCCATCGAATATATGCGATACTCATGCTCATAAAATCTGTGGAATCAAAAGTCCTGTGGTCGATCTCTGCTCGGTGCCTTAAGTATAGTGATCTGGATAAACTATCCTTTTCCTCTATCATCCATGGCTAAAATGTGGAAGTGGCTGCTTAAATGAGTGGTGCTGCCATCTATCTGGAAGGATTCTGAGCTAAGTCGCACTTTCACCCTAGTGGTGCTCTCTTTCTAACTTAAATGAAAAGGCCATCGCATTATTTACATTATTACCCTTATTCCAATGCACAAAAATATTTATTTCTTATTTACATTACAGTCATTATTCCTTTTTTCTCTTTATTGCAATATTTAATCCACTAGAGCTTTATTTTATGAAATTCATAAATATATTTTATGACTGCAATGTTCATTTTATCTATAGTATTTTTGTCTCAGCCAAACTTTCGACAAGGTGATGTTTTGTAGAATGGAATGCAATTTTAAAATAATATAGTTGAAATGATTTTAGGCGTCCTCCAAGGAATCAATTGTTGGAATGTAGAGGACTTTGTATTATGTACAATGGAGCAGGCAGATATTCAACATGTTAGAGATTTTCTTAACAAAAAAATGGATGAACATGAATGCGAGTAAGTATAGATATTAATTATTATTTGCGTATGAAACCTAAAAGTTAGGGAGTATTCAGATATGCTTATTAAATATCTTTGAAAGCAATGAAAACATTCCATTTCTAAAATAATAAATAATAGTAAGTTAAATAATAATAATAAGTTGAATAATAATTAGTTAAATATTAGTAAGTTAAATAATAATAATAATAATAAGTTAAACAAATAAATAAAAATAAAGTACAAGATAAGCAGAAATAAATTGCCTACTTAGATAAATATTTATGTTGATAATTATTCAAAAATTGGTTGAAATTTGTAGAATGCTCGTGTACTATAAATTTAATTTTTATTTATTTATGATTATTTTGCAAGTTGAGATTTTTGATGAGAATAATATGGATTACCTGATGCTAAATTTGAGTGATATTTAAGAGAATTAAACTAACATGTTAACCCTTTGACGCAGAATTTTTAGTAAACTTTAAATTATTGCTAATGACTCAAAACATTTGTTATACGTTTAAAACTTGCACTACCGTCATTTAACACGAGAATTTAGTAAAACTGTTGAAATGTACAATATTTATTCGTCAAATTTAAGGAGTTCTGAAAGGCATGACTTTCTTCACCAACCAGCTGCAGACTAGTGTAAGCTTTATCAATTATTGGAGTTAACATTTAACCACACCCTTTGATGTGTTTACGAACGTTCGGTGTTAACTTGAAATAACACACAATTTGCAACACAAAATTTGGATAAATAATACACCACAGTTTTTAAAGAGAATAAAACCGATATCCCCCAAAAAATATTGCTTTTGATAAAGTAAATTATTTTTAATGATAATTTATCTTTTCATAATTTAAACGAATTACAAATTTTGTAGGTGAAGTAAAAATTTAAAAATTTCATAATTTTTATATCACAAAACTGAAAAAAATAATGTTTGAAATCAAAAGTCTTTTTCTGTATTTTTTTCCTTCTTTTTTTCTGAATTCAACGTACTTAATAGTATAATGAACATAAGCTTTAGTTATTAAAATCAGAAGAACTATTTTTTGAAAATTATTTTATTGGGCTGTTCTTTTTCTGGGATGTTTGAACTAATTTCTTTTCAAAACATCAAAGAGCAGTACGTTTAAGTATTCGAATACTTTTCCATTCATTTGGTAATGGTTTACTGGAAATTTTGCTTTTAGAATTATAGATCTTATTACTTCACATTTAGTGAAAAAAGGAACTCAGAAGTATATTAAACAAAATTAGTATTTTATATGACATGCTCTAAGGTCCCTTAGGAAAATTTGCCATAGAGAAGCCTAAGGTAATCTATGTCAAGCTATGGCTACCATAGAAATTTGTATGAATAGAAATACCATAGAAATTTGAATATAGGCGTATGGCAAAATACCATACGCCTATGGTTACCATTGAGATTTGTATGGCACAACCCCATAAGCCTATAGCTACCATAGAAATTTATATGGCAAGATACTATACGCCTATAGTTACCATAGAGATTTGTATGGCAAAACCCCAAAAGCCTATGGCTACCACAGAAATTTGTATGGCAAGATACCATAGGCCAATGGTAACCATAAAGATTTGTATGGCAGTATACCATAGCTGATCTAGATCCCCACCAACTAAACAACAACTTCTATGGAGTCCTCAAAAACATCTTCTAAAAGAAATAAATATCCATTTTTTCACCCCGAAGTTAATTAAATTCAACATGTAATCCCACAAGGCATTCCTGGTGAGTCTTTTCCGGGTGACCAATTTTCCCATTTTTGAGTGTTTGAAATCCGATATTCCATTCTTTTAGGCTTAGAGTATCAGACCGCCATATTAACGTGCCATCCACTAGAAGTGGAATCTTTCGCTAACTTTGGCGACTTATTTTAATATTTTTTCGATCTCATTCTTGGTTAAAAACATTTAATTGCAAACGCCTATGCGATTATCTGTCTGAATTTACTAAGTTTTTAATTTCCGGTGATCTGGTGCTTTTATTATCTGTATCTTTTTAAAATATGTCGCTATTCGGTATAGGTTTTCGCTGTGTTAAATTTTGCTATTTGTTAACGCTGACTTTGTACACTTTAATTAATATCTTGCTGTTTATATTTTTATCTAAAATTTCTATATTTCTTTTTCCCAACTGTTTCTGATTAAACGACATCTTTCTTTTTTTTATCCCCTTGCTCTGATTTCATATAAATTTTTAAAGTTACATCACTTTTCCATTATTAATGGTGTTCTATTCCCCATAGCAATTTGTAAACAATCTTCATGATGAAAAGCGCAGTTAAGTGCTTATGATCAAGCTAGATCATCATTTCTTTAATAATTAACATTTTTTTAATTCTTTTAACTTGTTCGGTGACAATTTCATTTTATTGCTGTCATATATCAATATCAAAGTCAGTGTTTACAGTACTTTGCCTATA